GGTGTTCCGGGCATGTCCCACCAGGAGGAGGCCCCGGGGAAGACCCAGGACACGCTGGAGGGACTATGTCTCTCGGCTTGCCTGAGAACGCCTTGGCATGCCCCCGGAGGAGCTGGAGGAAGTGTCTGGAGAGAGGGAAGTCTGAGCATCTTTGCTTAGACTGCTGCCCCCGCGACCCGGTTCTGGATAAGCGGAGGAAAATGGATAGATGGAAAGCTAGAGCAGAAGCGAACATGTGCTCATTTGCCTTTGTCAGTCCATCCGCTGTTCACAAACGCTCTCCATCCAACCTCACTGAGCTCGAGCTGTTTTGCAAGGCGGAATGGGCAAAAATTTCAGTCTCTCGATGTGCAAAACTGATAGAGACATACCCCAAGTGACTTACAGCTGTAATCGCAGCAAAAGGTGGCGCTACAAAGTATTAACTCAAGGGGGCTGAATAATTTTGCACGCCCAATTTTTCAGTTTTTTATTTGTTAAAAAAGTTTGAAATATCCAATAAATTTCGTTCCACTTCATGATTGTGTCCCACTTGTTGATTCTTCACAAAAAATTACAGTTTTATATCTTTATGTTTGAAGCCTGAAATGTGGCAAAAGGTCGCAAAGTTCAAGGGGGCCGAATACTTTCACAAGGCACTGTACCAGAGTCTGTAGGTAACTCAGGCCAACTCTGTTTCTGTCTGTGCTGCATTTTAGTTTGACACTTCAGTGAAGCACTAAATGGCAGCTGATCTCAACATGCGTTTACTGGGTCGTGGCTGTAGTGGAGCTGGTGGGGGTGCATCCTGGCCCCATGGTGACAAAGGGACCCACCAACCGACCCAGTCTGCCTGACTGACTGAACTGGCACTTTTGTTGTTTAGTTGCACCCCCCCCCCACTTCAAGCACTGATAAGAGCCCAGTACAAGTCCCCCACCACCACCAGCAATGAGCCCTCAGCTCCACCCCTGGATCAAGGGTTTCACTTGCTGGATCAAGTGAGGCCAGTACAACTTGAGACAAACAGAAAGTAACATCATGACAGGAGAATAAACTCCAGTGAAGGGATGCGTGAACCAACGCAACTGTGTACTTCTCTTTTAAGAGACCCACAAACAGTGCGGATGCATTGGTTTCCTTTCTGTATTTACCTGTGCAGGTGGAGCTTTCTGCTGCTCTTTACTATCTGCTGAAGCTTCAGGGTCTCTGGATTTCTCCACCACAAACGTTCGATGTTTCTGATGTGGCTCAGCCTGACACACACATTGAAATTATATGAACCCCTTATTCTGTGCCTCCGAGTCTTTGGGTACAGATTTTTCAGGTAAAACTAGTTTTACTACCGCAGTGATACCTCACTGAATGAACTGTTGTGGAAGTAAAGTTTTTGAATGTAATTTTAAGAAGAATAAGGTAGAAGTACAGTAGTGTCTGAGTGTTAACCCTAACCTTAACCGCGGCTAAGATATTAGCTGACACTTAGGATCAGTCAGACTTTAGGTGGCTTGGGGGGGGGGTCTGATCTGTGTTTTGGAGGCAGTACATCTGTCCTGGAACCTGTGAGAACCTTGGACACCTTCAGGGGAGAGACAGACCTAGTTACTGCTGCCTGTGAAGCCATTACAAAGTGAGCTTGGGTGGTTAATACATTGACTTAGTCTGAGACTTTGTGGCTGACATAAGAGAAACAAAGGTGTGGAGGGCAGTGAGGTCTTCACTGTGAGAGGCTGCTGAACTGAACGAGCTGTCTGGATGTGCGCTCCAGTAGGCGTGCACTGAGAGTCAGGTCCAACACTAATCCAGCACATGAAGTAGTAATTCATGCTCTTGTGTCCTCACATCCTGGTCACTGTAGTTTGTCATACTCTTGCCTTAGTCCACGACGGAATGTAAACTCTTAGACATTATCAGCCTCTGAACATTTGTGACCACAGAGAAACCTGCAGTGTCTCAGGTCAGCTAACCGCTGCCTGTTCGATGTTCCCAGTGCCACATTTTTAATGAGGACGTTTTCTTAGCTGGTGCTGTATTCTGTGTTATGTGCTTGCTTGTGTCTTGCTATCCTTTTCTTTGGTGCAGTGTGTTTGCATCATGTCTGTCTGATGCTGTATGATGTGCCATATGCTGTAAATGTAAATAAATATGAGTAAACACTGAAGCTCATGTGAGCACCTGCGCTTCAGCTCTGAGCCTCATCTGTCTCATCTCCAGGTGATACTGCTGACGGATGAGATCCAGCTGACACAGGTACTCCTATAAACACACACAGACGGAGCAGCATCTGAAATTTACAAATGAAACAGTCTCAGCAGTGTCTCAGTCTTGATGTCACACTTCTGCCCCCTTGTGTTCACCTGTGGTCCTGAATGGACCTGGAGCTCATGCATGACTGAAGCCTCCAAATGCAGACTGATTTGTCTGATATGTAAAATGCAAACAATCAAGTTCTGACTTTGATGAGGCTTCATTCAGGAACCAGCTGGTTCTGTCCAGGGTCGGAAGATGTGGCTGAGACTTCTGGACAGTGCTAATGGCTGCCTATTTATTTTCAGTAAATCTCTCCAGACTGTAGGCCTCCGCTTGTTCAGTGTCACTGTTTCGTTTCTGTCTTGACATTTGAGACATGTGGATGTGGTGCTGAGTAATGAACCTGTCGAGTAACTAATGAGTTCTGCTGCTGAGTATTCAGTGACAATACAAATCGTTTTTCATTGAGTAATTGATATTTGAAGTCAGCTGCCAAACAGTGGTTACATAACATGCTGTCCCTTCACAGTGAAGCTGGCGTGTCTCCGGTGTATCCCACCTGGTGTCCCTCCTGCCTCCTGTCCTGAGGTGTGTCCTGGTGTTCAGGTCGTCCCGCTTCCTGCTCCTGACCTCTGGGCTTCCTGTGGCACTCGGCTGTGTATGGACGCAGACCCTGACATTCAGAGAGAAAAGGTCAAAGGTTAAAGAGGCTGTGGTGCTCAGCATAGTGGGACAAATTACTACAGCACTCTGACAAGAAACCAAGGAATTCAGTAAATACACTAACTCCAGCAATGTACTTCAGTAGAGTTTTGAGGTACTGTGCTACTTATACTATACTTCTACTATTCAGAGGGAACTAGCTCTGGTAAATTTTCAGATTAAGATTTTACACTGAGAAACATTTATTGAAGTCAACACAGTTAAAGATTAAAGAAGTATTTACCTGCTTTTTTGGCTTGTGACCTGTTCTAAAAACATTCCTGTCTAGTTGGGGCCTGTAGTCATGAGACAGATGTGTCTGGGTTGTGCACAGTCCACCAAAGACAAATTATGTTTACAAAAATTCACAGATTAGAGAAAAGTCTGAAATGGATTAGTGTTTCACAAATTATTATTAATATTCTATTTGTTTGTTTGTGACAACCCCTCAGATTTACCTGGTGACCATCTGGAGGGGTCTGACCCTAGGTTGGGAACCTCTGGACTAACTGTGTGGAAGGTAGTTAAAACCGATGATGACACATTCTAATATCAGATAGAACCACAGGAGGCATTTTACTGTGTACTTTTACTACTAATTACATAACCCTAATAATACTCCTGAACAGTTGCTTAAACTGTATTTGAGAAGGCCTTTAACTTATAGCACAGTATTTCAGTGTCACGTGTACTGTTAAAGTACAGAATCTGAATACTTCTTCTGCTCCCAGTACTGTGACCCAGCCTTCTCAGGTCATAAAATAATGCCTTTTTATTTTTTTTTTTGTCCCTGAAAAATAAAACGCACACACAGCAAAATTAACTGCTTTTAAAATGATTTCTAAATGTGTTTTGTTCAGCTCAGTCTGCTCCAGGCAGCAGTTCACTTCCTTCCTCACTTGGCCCCTTTTTGACTCGAACTCTGAACGTGAGCAAAGGGTAATTTCCTGTTGTGGGTTTGCAAGGCACCACTGAGGTTTACAGGGTCGAGTCATGCTCCTGTGGTCAAACCTGCATTATGTACTGTAGATGTCTCTTTTGTTAACCCTCAATCTGTCCTTAATTAATCAGAAATATCTGAAGAACCACACTGAGCCTGTGTGCAAGTGATGGTACAGACTCCATGAGCTTCATCCTACCAGCTGCTTCTCTGCTCTCAGCTTGTACTGGTTGGCTTCATGTCTCCTCTGTAGGTATTCGTTACGAGCTGCAGCCACACTGACAGACACAGACAGACACACAGAAAAGGTGACGCCTATAACCAGAGCTTATATAGATTCTAGTTTTGACCAAACCTTGTTATGAGAGTTTGATCTGAAGATTGATCTGCCCCATGTCTGTAGCCTACAGTAAACAGGAAGCTACAGCCAGCAGACAGTTAGCCTAGCTTCACATAAAGACTGGAAACAGCTAGCCTGGCTCTGTCCAAAGGGAACAAAGTTCACCATAACCCCCTCATAAACCCCAGCATGCTGTTTTGATTTTGAACCGATTAAACAGATTAGACAGAGACTAGAGGACAGACTAGGAGCTGAGGGCTCTCTTATCCAGTACCTGCATTAAGCCTGAGCAAATGGCTGTGAAGCCATGTGTCCCAAACATTATGGTGCCTTGAAAGGGGGGGTCAAACAGTGCTGTAACGTCTACACAGTATAACCACGTGTGTAAAATATATACCCTTTTTTAAAATCTTAGAATGTGCACTTTGACGTAATCTTTTTAAATTAGAAATCTGAACTTGTGAAGTACTGTACAGAAGTAAATGGATAAATGATGGGTCTCTGTCCCAAACATCAGGGCACTGTATACCAACTAGCTGCTGCCTGTAGCTTCATATTTACTCTGTTTCTGTTGTATTTGTAAAAAGTAAAAGATATTTAAAAAATATTTATTATAGACATATAATATGTGCACAAAAGAAAATCACATCTATACAGTACAAACATATTTATACCTACATACTGTATATTCAGCTACACATGAATCCAAAGCAAACAAGAGCTCGTGCACGGCAGGTGGGAGGCTAAACGCCTAAACAAAGACCTGTCCTAAACCCTAAGGCTATAGTTCCCCAAAATGTCAAACTATTCGTTTAATCTTATTCTTGTGAACCTTTGCTGCAGTTAGCTGCTAGCTATTAGCTAACTGGGAAGGTTAAAATCCAAGAAGATGTGCAGAACCTATAATGGTGTACATGTAGTGCTGAATCAAACAATCGATTGACAGGAAGTGAATTTATTTTGATAATCAGTCATCATTTTTAGTGAATATTATTAAAGTAAAACTTCAAATGTGAGGACTGGCCTCTTTCCTTCTTTGTTCCTCATGAGTTATCATGAACTGAATATCTTTCTTGTTGGATATAACAGCCAATCTGAAGATGTCACTCTGGGTTCTGGGACACTGTGACGGACATTTTTCTCTTTCCTGACAAAATGATCAATTGAGAACATACAGTAATCCATGGATGAATCAATAATGAAAATAACCATTAGATGTATGGTCACTCACAGCTGGTATGGCTCCACGGACGGAGCAGCATGGTCTTCACTTCGCTCCTTCTCTCTCTCCTGGGGAGGAAGGACGTCCTCCCTGTTCCTCTTCTGAAAGGCGTCCAGCTGGGCATGGTAGTGCTGGTAGTGGTCGAGAGGCTGCTGGCTGTTAAACCTGCATCAGTAATACATACGTACAGTAGATCTGGGTCACACGTGTAGCTCATCGAGATGTCACACCATTACCAATAATTGAGAAGTAGTTTCATAATACGATCTGAGTGTCATTTGTTTTGCCCTAATTCTGGGGATATTTGTTTTACTCACTTTTGGATCTGCTGCTCTGCGAACTCTCTGTTGGCAGCTGGCTGTCCTGTTCTCTGATGAAGAAATCATAAATAAATGTAGTACTAGTACAATACAAGCACAAGGAGAAAAACAATAGGAGTCAAATATAAGTTAGTAAAAGTAACTAGTAACTACAGCTGTTACAGAGTTATATTCCACCACTGCCAATTAGGTCTGTGTAATAACCAAGAGTCCTGCACAGTGTCCTTTACCTGTTTATAATGCCACTTAAGACGTCAGGTTAAATTTGTAATGGCGACCAGCAACAGTGATGGAGGAAGTCACAATAAAGTTAGCATATGTGAGTAACAGTTCTAAAAGGTGTGATTACTTTGTAGTGGCCAGGGGTGTGGACTCTGAGTGGGGCTCTCCAGTGTGGTTTCACAGATGGCCTCCTCCAGGCGGCCTCCGGCCTCTCTGCTCCTCTGGGCTTCTGTATCTTCTCTGGACAACAGCAGAGTCAGATTTACAAGAAGCTGTTCAACCATAAATTAGGGTGTCACTTTGAATCTAATGTCCTACATGTCCTGCCATTAAAACTTTCTATGGTATTCAAATTACTCTTTTTGAGTGATCTGAATTATCCGAAGACTTGTACTCAACATTTCTGTGTAGCATTACAGGCTGTGTGTCTTTTCTACTACATTATGGTCTGATGCTAAATGGGTTGATTACTATCATCTCATTATATTTATACTATGCACCTTTAAAATGAACTGAGCTACAACCTGCAGGGTGTTTTTAGATAGCACAGCTGCTTTCATGTGTTCTTTACATTTTTTCACATGTGCACATTTATTGTTTGTGGATTTGGAGTTTGTCAGTGACTGGCTACTAGAGCACACATCCTCTGTTAAGTTTCTGCTTCATGTCAGCCACACAGACAAGATTTCAACGTAGAAAACGGCTTCCCACAGGAGCTTTTATACCCAGAGTCAAACTATTTATGAAACTACAAACAGGGCTCACTAAGTAGTGAGCTTTGTATTTTTCCTTATCACATTTCCTGGTATTAGAGGCAACAGTAGCTCAGAAAGTCTCCACTAGCCTAACTTTAATAAACTGCTGCTATATGGTGTTACAATTGTTTGTAGGTCATGTTTCTTGTGTGTGCTTGTCTGAAAAAATGAAGGTTTCCTTTTCTCAGGCAGACCTTAAAGTCAACAAGACTACCTGAAGGTCAAAAAAAGCAACTCCTGCAGGTGCCCCCACAGGTGGCATGACCTCCCTGCTCAGTCTGCGCTTCCTGTCCCTGTTTTTCTGTGAAACAGCTGATGGCTTAAAGGTGGTTCAGTAATCTCATTCTAGTGTTTTAAGGATGAAGTGTGAGACAAACATAGGTAACCATTGTAAGGCAGACTAGCAATAAAAACAGGCACTCCTTCACTGATTTAAGACCAGCTCCAGTAACTTTGTGTTCTTGTGTTACCAAAACACAATGCGAGGAAGTGAGGCCACTACAATCAGCCCAATGGACTGACACAGCTGTGTTTCTCTGCAGTTTGCAGAAGGACGCGGCTGGAGAAGAGCCAGCACCTTGTGACCTGAACATGTTGCCAGTAAACAACCACTGGGTGTCGCCACACAGTACATTCAGCACACGTGATGGGATCTGTACAGATCAGAGCTGAAACTATCTGAAAGGACCGTTTTCAGGTTCACCTAACCACAGCTACTGTCCTGCAATAAACTGTATTACTGTTCAGTTTTTGTTTGAACTGTATTGTATGTTACACTAACAGAAGTCTTCAAAGATTGTCCACCCCGTTAAAACTTTGAACACCCTACTAAGTCAATACTTAGTAACCCCCCACCTTTGGCACGGGGGTGGAAATATTACCCACAACACAGATAAAGGAAATAATGGATTCCACTAAATATAATTCTGGCAGCAAACTCCTGAAGCCAGTCAAGACAGTGACACTAAAACAGGCTGGACTTTACAACAGGACAATGACCCCAAAGCAGTTCTCAAAATCCAACCTGAATTACGAAACACAGAAACACAAACCGGAGCTTCTGGGGCAGCCCTCACAGTCCCCTGGCCCGAACATCAGTGAAAACCTGTGGGGGATTTTAAACCTGCTCTATGTGCAACACAGCCTCAAATATCTCAGAAGCTAAAGTGATCTGCAGGAGGAGTGGCTGGAATTTCACATTTGAGGAACAAAAAGACACAAAGCAGCTGTGATATCTGCCAAAGCAGGGGTTGCTAACACTTACTAGGGTGCCCAAACCTTTCTACATGCCATGATTCAAGTTTCTTTTTTATATTTTAAATTGATTAAATAAAGAGTAACAGCGCAGAAACATGAGTTTAGGAAAGACTCATTTTAATGTCCATTTGCTGCAGGGGCTGGATTTACGTCTTCTCACTTCAGAAATCCCATGAAGGAGGGTTTGTTGCAGCACTGCTGGATCAGACTGACTCAGTTTGAGACAGGGGCTCCTTTCTTTCCTTCCTGTCTAAACGCTTTGCACAGACCTGTTTGTGCAGTGTTACCTGGTGCATTTGCAGCTCCTGCCTTTGCTTTAGCAGCTTGTGATGCTGCAGCTCTGTTTCGATGCAGCACTGTGTGGCTAAACTCCTCCTGCATTACCTACACACACACACACACACACACACACACACACACACACACAAATGTAATGTTGAAATCTAAACACTAAAATGCCTGATTCAGAATTAACGTAGTCTGAATCCCCTTCTTTGAAATATTCAGTTGTGCAGTTTCAAAAGACTTTCTGTATGGTATACAGTAGCCATCACTTCTACCTTTTCACAGACAGTACTGTTCAGTCAGAGAGGTATTCATTTAATCATCTAGTCATCGTTGAGGTTGTTGTCTGCAGTGATGTCTAACTGGCCTGCACTACACTGAGACGTGTCTAACGATTAGTCCAGCTTAGAAATACATTTCACTATAAGTCAACACTACCACCATCGCTGACCTCAGTGTAAACGATACTTTGCCAGTTTTCCAGTGTGAACATGCGACATGCCAAAAGTACCCGTTGTGGTGTGGCATGTGGTGTGGCTTTGACATGTTGAAATGATCTCACATAAAACCTTTCACTGATTTGACTGTTTAATGAACTTATCAATAAATCGCTCAGCTACCTGTGGGTCTAGGTGTTTGCTGATGTGCTTTTCCAGGAAGGGACACCTGAGGACAGAGTTGACCGAGGGACGGTCGCGAGGGTTGACCTGGAAGACAAGCACACAAGTCACATGGTTGGAAGCCGGTGTTTTGATGTCAACATGTTGTATTTTATAAAATGTAAAATCTTAATTTGTACAATAACTGGGAGCTGCAGTATGTGTCAGTGTAGTGGAGTAAAAAATACCACACTCCCCCCTTAAATATAATGTAAATGTATAAAGTAATAAAAAGAAATACTAAAATAAAACATTTGAGTAATTGTGCTAAGTAACTAAGTATCTTTACTCAAGTACTGTACTTAAGTATTTTCATTTTCTGTTACTTCATACTGTGACTTCACTACATTTTAGAGGCTAAACCTTTTTACTCCATTACATTTATTTTGTAACTTAAGTTACTAGTTACTTTTCAGAACCAGATTAATACAAAAATACAGTATAACTATAAGACCTCAATGGTCTGTGGTGGAAAACTCACAAGCCACCCAGGAGTACTTAAACTTAAATGCATATAAGCCAGTTCACCTAGCTCCCCTTTTAGCAGCTGCAACATTAAATGTGATGCATCAGTCATTATAATACAATATATGAAATACAGGAATGTGAAATGTGCCATTCTGCATAAGGAGTACTTTTACTTTTAGTATTTTAAGTATGTTTTGATGCTAATACTTTTGTACTTTTACTTAAGTAATATTTTGAATGCAGGACTTGTAACAGAGTATTTTTACACTGTTGTATTGCTACTTCTACTTAAGTAAAGGATCTGAGTACTTTTTCCACCACTGCAAGTAAGTGATGTTCAACTCTGATTCAGCAGTGCAGCTGTGTAAGTCCAGGTTCACGAACTGCACCTGTTGTTTATGCACAGTTCATTTATCTACTTCTTACCCACGCACTTTAAAGATAATTCCTAAGTCAACAGAAAGTGTCTCAGAGTGTGTGACCTTGAAGAGTTGGGTGATCAGCAGGCGCAGGTCGTAGGAGTAGCGGCTGGGGACTGGGTTGTAGCGCCCCCTGCAGATTTTACTGACCAGCTGTCGCAAACTGCTGCCCTCAAACTGCAGGTGAAGACAGACACAGTGGATGGACTGAAATGCATTGGCTGCCACTTTGATGATTGATAATTGTGCTATTATTTTTAAACGTGCACAGCCTCTCCAGTGTGAGAACCTGATGCTTTTAGTTACCATTTATGATGGTAAGGTGCATTTCTTTGAGTTTTAGACTTAAATAAAACAAGCTGTGTCGACACTCAGGCTGTGGGATATTATGCTAAGTTGTCAGTTATTAGGTACACATGGCTAAACTTGAGTCCAGCTAATCCAACACTCCTGCAACCCGCCTTCATGAAGGCGATAATGTTCAACTGTTTAAGAGATGTGTTCCTGTTATTTCACGCTGATATAAATGGGATGGACAAAATGATAAACACACCTATCACAATACTTTTCATCATCAGAAACGCCAGCCTCCAAAACGATCATCCCCTTGAACCAACACATCTCTGAAACAGAAACTGAACATTATAACCTTCATGGAGGACGATTTACTGCAGGACTGTTGGATTAGACAGATAGTTTAAGCATTTTTTTATTTTATGCCATAATTAGTACTAATTTATTTGGCCATTTTCTGCCTCTATATAATGAAAGTAGAAAGATGACAGGATCAGAAGAAGGTCAATGAACTAAAAAGTCAGCTGCAGATAAATTTTCGTTCATCAAAGACTCTGTTTAAATCTCCCCATTAGCACAACTCACTTTGCTCTTATTGTGCTGAGAATGCCCTCTGTAGACTAAATTAGCATTAGTGTTATTGTTAGCTCAGTGTTAGCAGAGTCTCTGAGATTCCAGCTGTGTGTGCGTGTGAAGCAGCTGCTGAAGTGCTGGGTGTGGTGCAGCTTACTGGATGTTTCAGGGTGCAGAGTTCATACAGGACGCAGCCCAGTGACCAGATATCCCTACAGACAGGACAGACACACAGATGTTTGCATTATACATTAAATGAACAAGAACAGATCATAGACAAACTCCCTGATTTCTTTATATCACAGACAGATTCAGGGAGTCACCACAAAACAGTACAACTTTTCTTTCTTTACTTGTTCTTTTAGTAAATGTTGTGTAACTTATATACTTCTTGTTGAGACAAGATACAAGGGCAGGGCTTTACAAATGAAATATCCTCTGTCCCTGTGAGCTATAGTCATAAACAACAGCAACAAAGCCACAGTGTCAAAATCTAGAGCAGTGAAGTGGTCAGTCAGAGCAGAGCCAGAGAGAAGGCTCTTTAAAAGCTTTTCAGTGTCGGACTCATACAGCTACTTTGACATTTGTTTTGTTGGCTGGGGACCAATGTGTGTGTGTGTGCCCTTGTACTTCTATCTTTGTGAGGACCTATTACTGTATAGACTTTCAGACTGAAGACATTTTCAGACACTGGAAACATTTTTGTCTCGTCCTCAAAGAACAGTTTGAGAGCTTAGACTCTTGTGTAGGATTAAGTTTAGAATTAGGTTTAGGCTAAAGTTAGGGCTGGGGGCTCGGGCAGAGACAGTCTCAAAAGTATAGAAAGAGAAGCATGTCTGTGTGAGTGTAGGAAAGAGGAAGCAACTCTGACCTTGGCTGTATCAAAACAAGACAGCAGACAAGAACAGAGCAGTGAGCACACAGAGCGCAGGAAGAGAATGATAATTATTTTGAGATCTCTGCATGTAATCATGCTCCTGCAGCTGATCGATGTCACAGCCAAAGACTGCAGACCCTGTCAGTGGGTGTTATGCTTTGTCTGTTATACAGCTGGTTAGAACACACGTGCCACCCAGTACCACTCAGAATCCAGAGCAGCAGACCATCAGCCACTTTGTGACCTCGCTGCTACTGTCACCATGTGTGTCAGATCCACCGAAGTCCTGAATAAAATCTCTACCAGCTGTTCAGTTGCAGCATCACAACACATTCAGCTACACAAGGTTCACTTCTCAGTTCTGAGCCACAGCAGTTCAGTCCAGCTGTATTATTTCAGAACTATTCAAGGTGACATTCAGGCTCTTTTCTTGGTGTCTGTAGTCTCAGAAAAATAACCTTTGAGTTTCTGTGTCCACTACCAGACCCCATAGCATCTTTCACAATGACAGAGATGTAGAAGTTGTTGTAGACCTTCATCTTGGTTTAGGTTGCGAGTGCTGTGCTCAGTAGTGACCATACATACGTCTTGTTGTTGTATGGCTGACTCTCGCAGATCTCTGGAGAGAGGTAGTACGGTGTCCCAACACAGGTCCTGGCCAGCTCCATGGTGCTGCAGAGCCACAGTTCACAAAGACAGCACACAGGTTTCAGTGTGTATAGTAAGAACAGCCTCAAATCGACACAGCAGTCTCTCACACTTCTGTGTAACTTGTGGTGGCCTGTTTTTAGAAGCTACCTGGATGTTTGCAGAATGGAGTTTTTAGTTCAGCTGCACTCCATGTTTCATCCAACATCTCACCAGGTTACTGGTGCAAGGTGTTTTCCTCAGGAACTTTAGAGTTTTTCTGCCTATGCCTCAACTTGTTTCAACTGAACTGAACATCCCCTGAAATGTGACTAGCAAACCAAATACACTGGATTTTTTACCTGAACTGTTCCACCCCTAGTCAACTTACAAATGGGACCTTCACTATTGTTTCAAGACAGATTCGATGTAAATCTTTAAAAACACCTCACAACTATATAGTTTCATTTTTAAAAAGGTTCAATAATTTCTCAAATAGCCGCTCATTGTAAATGTTAAAAGACTGTTTCAGTTTTCACGTGTCTTAAAACAGCAGTCACATGCTCATATGAACACTGAAACATGTTTTGCTTCCTGTAATCCTCCAGTTCATATCACCCATAAAAGGGTTTATCTTTAATGAATTTACTTTTAATGTTTGCAGTGCAGATAACTGGACAATTCGGCAAGCATCAAATTTTGAACAGCGATAGCTAAACAAGCGGCTACAGCTTGCAGGCTGACACACACTGTGGAGGATGAGGGTCTGCTTGAAATAATTTGCATTGGATCCAAAGACTGCACATGTGACTTGCACCCCTGGAGCCAATACACACAACTTGTATAAAGACGAGAAATCTAAAGTGGATGAGGCACTGGGACAGACAAACATGGCTTCACTCAGCGGAGGTTACTAGCCCTGTCTCAGTAATCCCAGTTACCTCGGGGCCCTTTAAGTTACATTTATCACTAGTGGTGGAAAAAGTACTCAGATCCTTTACAAGTAAAAGTAGCAATACAACAAGTAAAAGTCCTGCATTCAAAATGTTACTTAAGTAAAAGTACAAAAGTATTAGCATCAAAACATACTTAAAGTACTAAGAGTAAAAGTACTCCCTATGCAGAATGGCACATTTCACATTCCTGTATATCATATTATTGTATTATAATGACTGATCCATTATTGTGTTCATCACAGTTAATGCTGCAGCTGGTAAAGGTGAGCTAGTTTAACTGGCTTATATGCATTTAATTAGAACTACTCCTGGGTAGCTTGTGAGTTTTCCACCACAGATCAGTGAGGTCTTATAATTATACTGTATTTTTATGTTAATCTGGTTCTGAAAAGTAACTAGTAACTAAAGTTATAAAATAAATGTAGTGGAGCAAAAAGTAAAATGTTTGCCTCTAAAATGTAGTGAAATCAAAGTATGAAGTAGCCAAAAATGAAAATACTCAAGTAAAGTACAGATACCTCAAAATTGTACTTAAGTACAGTACTTGAGTTCTTACCTCTTAGCCTGGTATTGTATGTAGTATGAAAAACTACAATACTTAAAGACAGATACACATTTATTTGTATCGGTTTGTCTGTACAGGCCGACAGTTACTTCCAGACCCTGTGTGTTTGCGTGTCCTGGTCAACAGTGGAATGATAATGGCTTGTCTGGAGCTCCTGCATGTGTTACAGGGTGCTCAGTGATAAAACAGCTGCACTGCGTGTGTGAAGATTACTTGTTCAACATTCTCGCGATTCCAAAGTCCCCCAGCTTTGCTTTCATCCCTCCGCTGGTTAGGAAGATATTCTAGAGCAGAGGGAGATCAGGAATGAAAGCATGACTGTGTCCCCCAGAAAAACAGTGACTGCATCATGTGTGTGGAAACAAATATGAATGCTGACAGATAGTGAAGGCTGTGAACACAGCCCAGTTATTCTGGGAGCTGGCACACAGCGAGGTCTTTGTTCAGAACAAAGATGAGCCTACAGTCCCCTGAACTCTCTAATGATAATACCTGCTAATTAAAAAGCTTCACCTCAGGGTCTGTGGAGAATGTTGTTTGCCATGTATGTGTTCAGCTAGAAACACACTATGTACAGTCTGCGGACTACAAGGCTCGGTTAAAAAGAGCGTCTCTTTAATATCAACAACTGCATAATCTGGTTGTGAGTGAAATGGTTCCAGTTCTAAAATGTTCAGCTGATAGAAAATTAATTAACAATTCTGAGTTGTTTATTCAAGTCTTTATCAAGCAAAAATATCAACCGTTCTCTACCTTTTGTTCTATATCACGATAAAGCAATGTTTTTGTACATGGTTGGTCAGACAAACAGGAATTTAAAGATGTCACTGGACTCTGGAAACACTGTTCACTGTTCTCTGACATTTTACAGGCTAAACTATTAAGCAGAAAACCACTGTTAATGAAAATAACAGTGTGGTTGCAGCGGTTGATGGGAGCGAGTGAAGCTAATGATCAGAGTGTGTCAGAAGGAGCCAGACTGTGTGGTTCACTGATGTGATGAATGCGTGTTGCAATAGTGAAGCAGGTCACATACCGGAGACTTGATGTCCCTGTGGAGAATCTTCCTGTCGTGGATGTGTTTGAGGCCCAGGCAGATCTGAACGAACCAGTCCACGATCTGAGGAACACACTGCACAGTTTTACTGTGTGTTAAGTCATATTTTCATATTTGCTGTGAAGGCCGTGTTACTTCCTAATAACAGAAACATGGGGAGGATCGTCGGTCCTCCAATGTCCCCCTCACTTGTGAACAAATTAGTTTGAGGTTTAGGAATGAAAGCAAACAGTGAAACCCTTCACAGGTATGTGTGTCTGTGTACTTGAACGGCTATCTTTGTGAGGACCAGTTTGAGTTTTAGACCTTGGGAGTGAGTAAAAGACATTTTGGCCCATCCTCACTTTCTGACACACTTTCAAAGGAAACTCTGAGGGCTGATGTGAAGTAGCTGCATCTGGGGGTGTGCTGAACATGTGATTCACATACTCTGAGAGAAGAGTGGTGCTCTGGGGCTGGCTGTGGCTCAGGAGGTAGAGCAGGTCATCTCCTGACCAAAAGATTAGCAGTTCAATTTCTGGCTTGTCCAGTTCATGTGTTGAAGTGTCCTTGAGCAAAATACTGAAACCCCAGTTGACACAGGTGTGTGTGAATGGATGAATGGCCAGATAGTGTGAAAGTGCTTTGAGTGTGCTGCAATGCATAGAAAAGTGCTATATAAGTAAAAGACCATCTCTGACATACCGTATCTGCTCCCACCAAACACACCAGCTATAGTGTGTTAGGTATTTTTTAGTCAGATAGATATTGGTTAGATACTTGTTGTATTAGAAATTTTTAGTGGAGACAGGATGTCTAGTTTAAATGCTTAGTCATTCTCATGAGTTTTTTTTTTCCTGTGTTGGGCCATGCGTTTGTGAAGCGGCTGCTTAGTTTCACCAATGTACAAGTCGTTACACTCCTGACTACACTTAATTGCATACACCATATCACTCTGTTTGTGTCTGGGTGTTTTGTCCTTCGGGTGGACCAGTCTCTGCCGCAGGGTGTTCCCTGGTTTAAAGTTAACTGGGATATTGTGGTTGCGAAAGATCCTTTTTAGCTTCTCTGATAAACCAACCACATAAGGGATGACAGTGTTATCCCCTCTTGTTTCTGGTTTCTCCCTGTTGGTGTTGGGCCTCTTCCTTGCTTTGGTGAAGGCCCACTTGGGGTATCCACAAGCCTTGAGGGAGTTCTGGGTGTGTAGTTTCTCCTTCTTGGTCCCTTCTGCAGTTGTGCGCACTTCCTTGTGAGCACTTCCTCGGACCTGTGGTTTAGAGTTCTAATGACCCCCGGTTTGTGTTGAAGTGGAGTGTGAGTCAAAAAGAAGGTATTGGTCTGTGTGTGTAGGTTTCCAATATACTTCCACCTTCAGCCTTCTGTCTCCTTCTAGTGGACTGCACAGTCCAAACGGCCAGATAGTAATCTTTGGCATCCTCATGAGTGAACTTCATGTTGATATCCCAAGAGTTGATATGCTTGGTGAAAGCCTCTACCTCTTGGGTTCTGATTTTAACCCATGTGTCATCCACGTAACGGAACCAGTGGCTGGGAGCCATTTTGTTTCATTCATGTAGTGGAGTGGAGCAGCGAGCAGCAGTGTTTCAGTTTCTGCTGTGATTGGCGCTCACCCAGCTGTTGCCTACACTGGGTCAGAGGATATCTGCATAAACTCATGTTGCATAAACCCCCCAAGTCGCCCGTGATGGCGGCGCGTACGTACGCAGCAGCCCGGGGCCCTCGGCTCCAAAAAAAAATTTGTTGTACGTGTCACAATGTTACAATGACAACAAAATACAGCTTCTTCTTCTAAAGTTGCACAAACTTCCCACTGTAGTAGTGTAGCTGAGTGCATTCGGAATCTGATGAGCTCTGCAGGGTTGCAGAGCCAGGTCTCATTCGTAATGAATGGCAGCTGTCACTGGCCCAGCCTTTTAGATCTGTGTGTGTGAACGCAGTGTGAGACCTGGTTTTAGTTTTCAGGTTAGAACCAGGTTTAGGTTAGGATTAGTTAAGGGGCTAGGGGAGGCATTATGTCAGTGAGTGTCAGCACAAAGGTAGAAGTACAAACATATGTGTGTGCACCTGCTCCTCAGAGAAGGAGACCCCTCTCTGCATGTGGATCTTCTTCATCAGGTCTCCTCCATCACAGTACTCCATCACTATGTACAGGCTGCCCTTCTCTGTACAGACACACAGTAGACAGTGTACACTCTGACGCTGATCTGCTGGCATAAATACAGGATCACATTAAATTCACTGCAGAGACACACACACACACACACCTTGAAATGATGTGATGAAGGTGACGATGTTAGGGTGGTTCATCTTCGACAGCAGCGTCACCTCTTTCTTTGACACTTCCTTCTTCCTCGCTGACATCTGAGTAGTCAGAAACAACAAAACAACACGTATCCCCCACATGAACACTAACCTAAAACAGACACCTAACAGCTGGTTAAATTATCATAATCTGGGAAAAACACTACAAAAACACTCCTGAAATCAAAATATGGGGGCACCCTTGTAAAAAAAGGTCTTTGCACTCAAGGGATTTTCCTGCTTAAATAAAAGAGAAAAAATAAATAAAATAAATTTGAGCACAAGTTTGACATTTGTAGACATATGCTTTCTTGTTAACAGTTAGATGGGAAGATTAATATCACTCTGTCCGCACAGTAAATAGAAAGCTATGTCCAGCATTGTGTTAGCTTAGCTTGGCAAAAACACAGGAAACCACGGAGCCGACTGTGCGAAGGTAAGAACATCCACCGTTCAGCACCTCTAAAGCTCAGTAGCAAATTATATCTTGTGTGTTTAATCTGTACAAAAACCAAAGTGTAAAAATGACAAACCCTGGTTTCACGAGGATCAACTGCCAAACTGTTATTTGTCAACCATTCACAGCCCCCACCCAAGAAACAAGCCCCAGAACCCAGTCACTGTGCTAAGATAAGCAAATTACCTGATGACTGTAGATTCATATTTGTCAACCAAATATGAGTTTTAACTTCTCAGCTGTCTCTGCCAGATAGCGAGCAGGCATCTTTCCCAAATGTTGAACTATTCCTTTAAATTAACCACATTTAAAAAAAAAGGTAGCCATAGTGTGATGTAGCCTAAAAATACTCGAGTACAAGAACACACCTGTGTTATAAACCTAATTTATTCTAGACCTTACTTTGTAAAGTGTCCTGAGATGACTTTTGTTGTGATTTGGCGCTATACAAATAAAATTTGATTTGATTAGATTTGATTTAAACCCAAGTTAGATGTACTGTATGGGCAGCAAAAATAGACCTTTATTATCCAAATTCGAACAGTTCTCACCATCAGGGATACCCCTCATGCATACTGGTAGATGAACCTATAGTACTGCATACAGCGTAATGAGCTTTTCATCTCTTTAACATGTGAAATGACAGTACTCAAGTAAATTATGTTTAATTATTACCTTCCACTTCAGTTACTGTACATCACATTCTATAGAATCATGTCTTAATTAATCACATCTGTATTAATCAGTGTGTATACAGAGGCTGGTGTGCACACTGTAACTTCATTAACCTGATGTCATTAATGTTCTCTCCTTATAAAAGTCTGTCCACTGTTTTCCATGTCATTTCTGTACTAAACATTTAAAAATACAGTACCGTGTATCAATGAGCTAATCGTTCAGGCTGAAAGTGAACTCTGCTTAACAAACATAGCTGTTTGTATTTAGTTATTAAAGCAGAAGGGAGCTCAACTGTTGCTAAAATGAACACACAACCCATCACACCTTTCTGAGGATGATCTCTTTGACCACACACTGTCTGTCTCCACCTCCCCTTCTGTCTCTGACCAGGAAGGCTTTCCCAAACGCACCCTCTCCAATCTGACGGATAACCTCATAGCTGTTCATAACACCCGGCTGACCTGCACAGACAACAGAGGCACATTTGTACACAGAAATGTGAGCAGGGAAGGTTCCAGCTGCTCTAACCACTTTATGTAGATACAGTGTTAGTTATAATAATGCATCCAATTCAGTAACAAAACATTACTTTGTAAAATATGTAAAACATTGATTTTCCACAGTACATCGCAACTACAGCAGTTAAGTAAATGTAGAAGATAAAAATTACATTATTTGCCACTGAAATGAAGTGGTGTGTCACATTAAATGGAAATACTAAACAGCAAGTGTACAGTTAGCTTACTTTAAAACTGTACTTAGTGTACTAATGTTATTTACTTTCCACCACCGATACTAATGATAGACAGTTTCTCCCATCGTAGCCAGTAAAGTACATCAAATAAAGACTTGACGAATTTAACGTTCACAAAACGTTTTCCGTTTTCACACTGGCAAGTCCGTTACCATGGAGACGGATACACAGGCGGTTAGCTTTAATGTTAGCATGCTAACAGGTTCACTGACAATATACACCGCTGACTTGCTTACTTTCAATATCTAATAACAGTGTGAACTTACTTTTGACAAAGATGTCTTGTTCCCAGATGTTGGAGTCACATCTGCATCCGCGGGTTCTAAAGTCCCATGTGATGAAAGCGTTTGGATAAAATGGTTAACTACGGCAGCCGCGAAGAGAAACCGAAGGGAACGATGGGAGTTGTTCCAACTAGTAGTTTTTGCAGCTCAGCTATCTTCTTCTTCTTCTTCTTGTTTCGGCTGTTCCCGTTAGGGGTCGCCACAGCGAATCATCTCTTTTCATCTAACTCTATCCTCGGCATCCTCTACTCTCACCCCAATTAACTTCATGTCCTCTTTTAGCACATCCATATATCTCCTCTTTGGCCTTCCTCTTGACCTCTTGCCTGGCAGCTCCATCTCCAACATCCTTCTACCAATATAACCACTATCCCTCCTCTGCACATGTCCAAACCATCTCAATCTGGACTCTCTGACCTTGTCCCCAAAACAGCCGACCTGAGCTGTCCCTCTGATGTGCTCATTCCTAATCCTGTCCATCCTGGTCACTCCTAAAGAGAACCTCAACATCCTCATCTCTGCTACCTCCATCTCTGCCTCTTGTCTTTTCCTCACTGCTACAGTCTCTAACCCATACAGCATAGCTGGTCTCACTACTGTCTTGTACACCTTTCCTTGGATTCTTGCTGACACTCTTCTGTCACACAACACTCCTGACACCTTTCTCCACCCACTCCAACACGCCTGCACTCGCCTCTTCACCTCTTTCCCACACTCCCCATCACACTGGACTGTTGACCCCAAATACTTAAAACTCCTGCACCTTCTTGACCTCAGCCCCCTGTAACCTCACTGTTCCACTTCCCTCCCTCTCGTTCATACACATATATTCTGTCTTACCACGACTGACTTTCATTCCTCTTCTTTCCAGAGCAGACCTCCACCTGCTCTCTGCTCTCACTACAGATCACAATGTCATCCGCAAACATCATTGTCCACGGAGATTCCTGTCTGACCTCAGCTGTCAACCTGTCCATCACCATAGCAAACAAGAAGGGACTCAAAGCCGATCCTTGATGTAGCCCCACCTCCACCTTGAACTCCTCTGTCTGACCTACAGCACATCTCACTACTGTCGTACTCCTCTCATACATATCCTGAACTACTCTGACGTACTTCTCTGCCACTCCTGACATCCTCATACAATACCATAGCTCCTCTCTCGGCCCTCTGTCGTACGCTTTCTCTAAATCCACAAAGACACAATGCAGCTCCTTCCGACCATC